TAACTACATATTACTCTATAATGAAGGGAATCTCAATCAGAACGATGGTGTGGTAGTGTATATAAAAGAGACATTAGAATTTGAAAAACGTATTTTGAGTATCGGGCAAGTCAAGGCAATTGAAACAAAAATCGTTAAATATAACAAAACATTCCTTATCACAAGTATTTATAGATCACCTGCATCTTGCATAGACTCATTCATAACAGATTTGAAAACATATCAAACAGTTTGCGACAACGAAATCAATATGCACATTATCGTAGGAGATATGAATATCCACATCGTCAGAAGAAACTGAAACTTATCTGAATAATATGGCAGAGAATGGATTTTTATCAGCAATAAATGAACCAACTAGAGTGGAAGGCAATACTGAAACTTGTATAGATCACTTCTTCATAAAAATAATAATCTAAACGTGGACTACATTCCTATAGTGCTTCACAAACGAATAACTGATCATTACCCTATTGTCCTCAAGCTATCATTTTCTGAAAAACTCCAACAAAAAACCCACCCATCAAATCATAAATATTATCTTAATGAAAACAAGCTAGTCTCTATGCTAAGAACAGAAGACTGGCAAGACATGTATAGTTGTAACGAAATTAACGCGAGTTATACCAGCTTTGTTAAAAAACTAAAAACTTACATCAACAAATCTACTAATATGGTTAAACTAAAAAACAATGAAAAAATGCGAAAGCCTTGGATCACCAAAGGACTTATTAATTCTACTATAGAAAAAAAATCGACTGTTCAAAATTATGAAGAATCAACCAACCGCAAATAATGAAAATAATTTCAGAATATATCGCAACAGACTAACTGCAATCATCAAAGAAACAAAAAGGACATATTTTCAACGCAAAATAACTGGAGCAAAAAATAATTCCAAAGGCCTTTGGATGTGCGTTAAAGAAATATGTAGCTCAAAAACAAAAAAAGGAGGAATCATTGAGAAAATAAAAAATGAGAATGAAGATACAATAACCAATACGAAGCAAATCTCACAAGAGTTCATTAAATTTTTCACAAATATCGGAAAAAACCTCGCAAGTAAAATCCAACAAAACAACAACAGAAAATTCGAAGAACAACGCATTCCTAACTCTTTTTTTCTGCGAGGTACCACAGAAGAAGAGATAATTACAATAATACACTCACTGAAAAACAATAAATCGCCAGGACTAGATGGAATCAAGTCCGAAACCTTGAAACTTATTGTTAATGAAATCGCGAAACCAATTACTCATCTCATAAATAAGTCGTTTGAAACAGGAAAATTTCCAAATGAACTGAAAACAGCTGTCATAAAACCCCTATATAAAAAAGGAAGTAAGTTGGATATGGCTAATTATCGACCAATATCCCTAATTTCAAACATTGCAAAAATTTTCGAGAAAGTATTAAAACAAAGATTAGTTAACTTTTTAGACAGGTTCAACATTATTTCAAATAGGCAATATGGTTTCAGACAAGCCCGGTCGACACAAGACGCAATCGGTGAATCAACAACAAAACTATATAATGCATTGAACGATAAAAAACCGACTCTTTGTGTCTTTGTCGACCTGGCCAAAGCCTTTGATTCTGTCAGCCATATTCAACTTCTCCAAACGTTCGAGCAGGTTGGCATTCGCGGTACTCCACTGAGACTATTGGAAAACTATCTCACAAATCGTAATCAGTGTGTAAAAATCGGAGATGTATACAGCGATTACGAAGTAGTAGAATATGGAGTCCCCCAAGGAACGGTATTGGGTCCCATATTTTTCAATATCTACATCAATAATCTCTTCAGTTTGGATACAGAAGGTGACATAATGGGTTTTGCTGATGACACAGTCGTTCTGTACCAGGAGCAAAGTTGGACTATGTTGAAAAGTAAAGCTGAGAGAGATTTTACGAAAATCGCCGAATGGTTTGCATCCAAACTACTCACTGTTAACTTTGAGAAAACTCATTATGTCCCATTCGCTTCCTATAAAAACCATTTACCAGATTATAATGTACTTACTGTGAGAATAAATAATATACCAACCTACATCCAATCAGCTGAAAATATCAAATATTTGGGTATATATATTGACAGCCACTTGAAATGGAATGAACAAACACAGTATGTCACTAACAAAATCAGGAGTTTATTACCAAAGTTCAAATATCTGGTAGGAATACTCGATACTAACCAGCTAAAAATTTTGTACTATTCACTTGTAGAAAGTCACTTGTCATATGGAATAATAGCATGGGGGGGAACAACAGACACCCATATGCACAGCCTACAAACTGTACAAAAATATATTATAAAAATAATAATGAAAAAATGTCAAACCTACCCAACAGAACAACTATTTCACGAATCAAACTTGTTTGATCTCAAGCAACTATATTTCTATTCAGTTTTAATTAGACAACATACCCGCAAATCGGAACTGTTTGAGATTACCCATCAATATAAGACAAGATACCGATGTAATTCAGTTTCAGTACCAAAAGCTGAAAAAACGATATTTCAAAGATCTCTTGTATATCTAAGCCCGAAGTTTTATAATCACTTACCAGAGAATTTAAAGTCAATAAGACCAATGAATTTATTCAAAAACAAATTGAAAGCATGGTTGCATACAAACCCTAGAGAATATAGACATAATCTGATTAACCACTAATCAATTCATTACTGATTCTATTCACATTCATTATAACAATAAGAACAAACTATTTGAGTAGGTACCCCACAGAATCTAGTTGGATGAGCGGTCTCCACGTACAAGTTTTTCTTTTAGAGGAAAACTGCTTGTCTTTCAATATTCTAATTAATTATTATACTATACGCAGATACACTTATATCTATGAATAATTCTCTCTTTCAATTCGAAGTTTTGAATGCACATGCATCTACGAACAAGTCCTAAGACTTTTAGTAGATTATCAATATTTATTCACTGATGTTCAAACCTTGTTGTAGGTAATACTTATTGTATTTGTAATTGTTATACTTATTGAAATTGTATTATATATATACATATATATTGAAAAAAAAAAAAAAATAATAGTGGAGAACAATGTGAACCCTGTGGAACCCCAGATGTCACATCAATATCGTTTGATAGATAAGACCCAACTTTAACTTTCTGTTTGCGACCATATGAAAAGCTCTTTAGCCAATTCAATAGAGTTTCATCAAAACCAATATTTTTTAATTTAAGCAATAATAAATTGTGATCTACCCTATCAAATGCTTTGCTGAAATCTGTATAAATTGAATATGATTACATGTTCTGTTCCAGAGTTGATATGATATCATTGTTATAAATCAACAGATTTGTTACTGTGGATCTTTTAAACATAAAACCGTGCTGATTGTCATTAATGATCTCTTTACACAAAAAACTGATTTGGTCAAACACTAAGCTATCAAATAACTTGGGTATCGCAGATTGATTAGATATCCCTCTATAATTTTCAATATTTTCTTTTTCACCCGATTTCAATGATAGATTGAAAATCATACAAAGTGGATGTGCAAGAGAACAAATACATTGTTTAAGAAATGTGTTGGGTATACCATCAGGCCCACAGTTGTTCTTTGAAGGGATTTTATCGATCTTATCGTACACTGTGTAAACAGAGGAATTAGGAAAACCTATATCATAATTTGTTATGTTCGTTAGATCGTCATCAGGAGCTACTCGATTGTTAACATATATCGTAGAGGAATAGTATGCAAACAACTGTGAAATTGCTTCACCGTCGCTAGCGACTTGTTCTTCCAAAAATAAGTTTTGAGGAATACTAAATGATGATTTTTTGTTATCTACAAATTTCCAGAATGATCTTGGATCTTCTGACAAGTTGTTGTCTATTTTATTCATGTATTGTTCGTAACATATTTTGGACAGATTTTTACACTGTGCTCTGAGATCAACGAAATTTTCATAATATGCCATATTACCTGTTTGTTTGTATTTTTTATGAACCTCCCTCTTTTGTATGACCCCATGTCTTAAATTTGCATCAGCCCATTTTGGAAAAGATGATACTTTGTATTGTTTCAACGGAACAAATTGTTTGATTGCCATGTTCAAAATTTGATGAAATGTTTCAACAGCTGTGTTTACATTTTTACTATCTAACCATTCAGTCTAATTTATTGGTGACAAGTAATTGTTTAAACCAACTACATCAGCATTGATGAAATCATAGTAATACTCCACATATTTAAATTTCTCGTCGCTCATATTATTCAAATGAATGTTGAAGGTATATGCTTCATGATGAACTGAGCTAGGAAATAAAGGATCAATACTAGCTAAGCTAACATTCACAGATTCAAGGTTAGAAAAAAGTAGGTCTAAAAATACATTTCTGGAATTAGGAATTTCGACAAGTTGATAGAAATTGAGAAATGCATAGCACTGGGCAAAAATTGTAGAACAGTTGCTTTGTAGCCATATGTAGATGTGCCTAGATTGTCATTTTTCCATGTCACATCTGGTAGATTGAAATCTCCATAAACAAAAGAAATCTTGCAGAGGGTAATTAAAACGTATTTCTTCGACAGCTTGCACGTGTGATGAAAATTTTTCTTCAGGAGCGTTTGGAGGAAGATGAACACCACAAATGATAAACTCCTTTTTGTTATACTTGCAGTGAACAAACAATTGTTCTGTGTCTTTATTTGTCAATGCCAATTTTCTAGCACTCATGCGTTCGTGAATAGCAATCAATATTCCACCCCCTCTCGATTTCTCGCTCGTTGATTGAGATCTATCGCAGCGGAAGACACTGTAATTATTCAATTTGAATTCGTTATTAGAAATATCACTGTTTAGCCAACTCTCTATCAAGATGATTATGTCATAATTGAAACATGCCACTGCTGTGGTTAACTGCATTATCTTTGTTCTCAATCCGCCGACGTTATGACAATTAATACACTTGCAATGGGGTATTGATCAGTTTTTTCTATTTTCTGATTTTTGCTGAATCACTGGAGTTCCTTTATAGGATCTTATCTCTATATTACGTTCGCCTTTTCCAATTCTTGTATTAAATTCTTCTTTAACCTTTTTGAAGTATTCACGTTGGGTGGGAGTCTGATCCGCACTCAAACGAATAGGAGTCTCTTCAGCTACCAGTTTCCTTTTATTTTTCAGGCAGTTCAGAGCGATATTGTTGTCAGAAAAAGATATTTTAAGAGGGCGTGGTTTATTGTTGGGATGACCAAGGCGATGAGCTTTAAATTCTCCGCCCTGTACGTTCAGATGGTCTAACACATTTTGGCATTGTTCTTCATCAAATTTGATTCTTTCTGAATATTCTTGAGCTTGAGATTCTTGAACATTATATAAAATTATGTTTCTGGCCCTGTCTGCTCTATCCTGAATTTCTCTATAAAAAGCTTCACCATCAACTTGTAGGTGCTCTTGAGATTCCATACTTTTTTTAATTTCACAAACTTCATGTTTCAAAGTTTTGTTAGCTTCGATGAGATCTTCGATTTTTCCAAGTCTCTGCTCTAGGTGTTTGTTGGATTCTAATATCTGTTCCATTTTTATTATTCTCTGTTCAAACGTAATGAGTTTGCTATTGAAATTGGATGACTGATCTTGGATCTCCTCTTCAAGCTTAACGATTTTTCGGGCAAGAGACGGAATCTCTTACAGTTCGCATAATTTCAATTTCAAAAATCATCAAAGACATCATCATTTGATATGAATAAGGATGATTATTTCTAACCTGAATTCAATTTTCCCTTTTAACTGACGAAAAATTACCCAACTGCTGTTTATTGAGAACAGAATCAAAGTTATTGATGTCTTTGCAATGTTTCGAAACCTTTGGATATTTGATATCTATCAAATGATTTATGTCATGATTTTCCATCACAACTCCATCAACACTCGTTGCAAGAACTGGGAACCTTTTATCCACAACCAGGCCTACTTCCAGCAGTCTCTGATTATTTTGCAAAAATAATGATGCATATTCTTGGCGCGCCTTTGCTTCATTAACTTCACCATATTACATTGCAACTGATTTGGTAACTCTCCACAAGTTCTTCAACAGCAAATTATTTTTTGCTTTCGCACTATGTAACTGAGATGCTACAATTTTGGCACTAGTGGAAGTGATGAGATAATTTCTCCATCTTAGCCAGTTTTCAGAACCTTGTTTAGATTGATCTATCTTGAATACACTGCTGCCTTGTTTGTTCAGAAAGATTTTCATGTTTTTTAAAAAGTTCTGAGTAAGAGTTTTGATAACATCAAGTTCTTCTCTATAATATTGAAACTCTTCATACTCGATCTTCATTATAGTTTGGAACATTGAGCTCCCAGGTGAACTCTGACCAATATTCTGTGAATTTGCAACAAAGTTATTCAGGTTGACTCCTCTCACATAGCCATCTAGCCGCGGATCAAATGATGCCCTATCTGTACGTTTATATCTCCTCATAGGATATACCTTAGTTGCTACAGGAGCTGAATCACGTTTTCTGCCCCAATGCTTCACTGCCTTGGCTGACTTGTAGAGGATAGTCCTATGGTTTCAATTTTCTCCACATACTCCCAAATAAAAACAAGGAGAGCTGTTATGTGACTGCATTTTCCTAATAAAGATTGTTTGCATTCACATATTCCTCTAATCACTGCCCCAGATGTTTTATCCAAAATAACAGTTACATTGTACAGCACTGTTTCTTAGAATGACGAGGGACATTTACATTTGGCAAAATATAAATTATTATCTCCACCATCATGGATATCACTGATGTGATCACTGTTCACAAATTGATGAACTCTTCGAAAGGGTTTTACAGTTGTAACTGTTGAATTATCTTCACCAATTTCAATGATGTCTGGGTCATCATTCTCTACATTTTCACCAACTATATATGAATAAATATGTCTTTTGTTGAAATATTTTGGAAGAGTGGTGAATGGAAACTTATTCCAAACAATATCAGCTGGAACTACTGTTTTGATCTCGGTTTCGATATCAGCATTGGGATTGGAACCAGAAGAACTTGATACACCGTCAATGTTCCTCTTGGCATCATACCATTTCCCCCCATCTACTACTCTAGGAATATCTTTGCATCATTTCCAGCATTGATACAATGATTTATTCTGAAAGGGGAAAGTTCATCACAAACATGAAATTTTGTGAATTCTCAGCTTAATTTAACCTGGAAATTAGTTCAGTTTTGGTGCCAGTCTTCTTTAAACCCCTACACTCCAACCAACGTTGCAGTTCTAAGACAGAGTGATCTCCCATGGACTTATTCTCATCAAGAACTGCACCCGGAACATCTTCAGGAAGTAGGAAAACCATATTCACTACGTTTAGTACCTTAGCAAACTTTGCAAAAACAAGAAGATTTCAACAGAGCTCACAAATTCAAACGATAATTAAAAAATACTGGCCAGATACACAATCACTCAGAACTTCTCTAGAGATAATATAGAAATGAAAGCAATAACAAATCATTCACGAATCACGCCGATCACGGAATCATAATCACCTTTGTTGACATGCGACCAGTCAATCACAGACCATAAATCACAAACATTCAGGCCATAAACACTCATGAAACATATTTTTCTGACGCATTTCGAGATAGTTGCATTATCGTGGATCTGAAAAGTTCCTAAATATGACAGATTGACAGATAATAGAATTCAATTGATTTTCACAATTCAACGATGAATTGACTTGAAATAATGATTGATATTTGATCAGTACAGCATTATTATTGTCAAGATATAATGATCATTCGTATTTTATTCAGTTATTTAAAATTCCAATTATTATTCTTTTCTCAGTAAATATATTCTTCACAGCTAATGATATAAATTGTTCATAAATTAACTGATGAGGATCTAACTATTTCAAAAGTTCTGAGGATTTTTAAACCAAATAAAAATGTTCACCGTGCTGTCGAAGTAATTTTCAATAATTATGTGGACGCTAATAAGGTCATTACTGCGAAAAAAGACTCTCTCAGAGGAACGGCCGTTTCTATCAACGCCGACATGACACGACTTCAGATTGACTCATGGCGTAAGTTACGAGAAGAACTGGAAGAGAGGAAAAGATCAGGAGAAAATGTGATCATCAGATATTTTAATGGAGTTCCACGCATTACGAAACAAATTCAGAAAAAGTGAATAAGAGCCATATCTGCTTCTATTACCAAAACGTCGGTGGATTACGTACCAAATTACTCGAATTGCAGCAAGCAGTTTTGTGCTCTAACTATGATGTAGTAATATTATTAAAGACTTGGTTGAACAAAGACTTTCGTAATTCTGAATTAGGTTTGAAGGGATTCTATATTTTTAGGTTCGATAGAGACTCAACAGATTCATTAAAAAAACGTGGTGGTGGTATTCTGATAGCTATTAGAGTTTCTTTTTCTGCTAGTTCCATAGATATTGTGAATATTTCATGACTGTGCCGTCGGCTTGACCTTATGAGATTACCCTTGCTAATTTTCGCTCAGAATGTGCTTCATGCTACTTATTCCGCATTCCACGTCGTCCAGTCCAGCGCCAGAGCACGCTCTCCCACTCCTACCCGGCGGTCTGTAGCGTGTCGCCCGACTGGTTCTTCAGTACGCTTATGATTTTCGTTGCGGTTGCTTCGCTCGCTACTATATATTAACTACGCGCATCGTTCGAGATCTACGATCGAAATAATTAGTTGTGGTTGTGTATTAGAAGTGAATATTATGGTAAGCTTTACTGTTTTTCTGTTACTGATGATTTATTTAGGTTATGGTTATTAATAACAATAATTCGTTGCTGTCGCCCACTCAAGGCACACGTAACGGCCCGATCGGTCCTGGACGGCTCAGATTCACGGCCTGCACGGTCAGATGTGAGCTTACGGACCGATTGACCCGCGGCGGCCCGACTTGGCCCGCGGGGGCCCGAATTGGTGAGCCGTCTGCGAACCAATTGGTGACGGTACGTCCCGGTTGGCCCTCTATGGTTCATTTCGAACCTTAAGGGGCCGGATTGGCGGTTGCGTGTGCACGCAGGTACATCGACTTGCCATTCTGATAAGTTTTCGGCCCACTCTGGCTCGTCAACTGACCGTTTGGCCCGTCAACGGACCATTTTGATCCGCTGACTGGCGATCTGGGCCGTCGGCTGATCATTTTGGTCAGTATATATATATACATTTTTTAAATGAAAATGGCTAATCTTACAGTTACTATTTCTTGCTTGCAGGCCATGGGTGAGTCCGAGGTATGCACGCTTCAGTCCCTTATGGAATTGGAGTGCGAAGACCCAGATGATAATGTTATCCTTTCCAGGATAAAAACCCTAGCTATTAATCATCTACCCAGGGGATGGAAGGATCGGAAAGCGATAAAATATTCCAAGGAAGAGTTTTTAGGAACGGAATTGGACCCCAGGGTGTTGAATAAAATCCGCTTTGTCCTACCGACAGTAGGCTTAGCAAGAGCTTTCACACCGAACTGCACCTCCCTTCCTGAAAAAATTTACACTCAGATGAAGCATAGGATGTTGGAGTGGCCATTCTGCACAGCTCTCATTATCGGACCGGCTTCTCTCGCTGCTAGAGTCTGGGGTTCGGCTGCTCAACATGAAATTGTATTGGCAGCCATAGCTGACATGAAACCACTTCTCCTTTCACGACTGGATGCGTCGAACGAAATTTCCAATGAGTCTAGTGAGATGGACGAGGAGGCTCGCTGTAGTTCTCGCAATACGCATATCTCATCGGTGTCTTTTAAATCGGACAATAAGTCTAGACTAGCCAGTCTTGAACAAGGTCAGTCAGAACTTAAACATATGTTTGAGGATTTTATGCCAAGATTTGGTGCCTTGCAAGAAAAACCGACATACGAATCGTATTCATCTGTCAGCTGTTCTGAGGATGAGGAAGACACGCATTCTACTCGCTCTTTACATCCATTGGACAAGATGGACGACTGGTCAGCCCCTCCTTTATCAAACGACGGTTTTTTTGATTTTTCACCCAAAACAGTAGAGCAGGAACCAAGTATACCCGCTCCCAAGACAAACATTGCTAAACAGGGGGTGGAATGTCAGCGCCTCGGAGAATCTTCATTCAAACTTATTCGGTATGCAGACGTTCAGAAAAAGCTGAAAAAAGCTGAATGCCTTTCCAATTTTTAATGCTTTGAAGGTCAACCAGGAGCTCTCACATCGCTCTTCCAGTAAATCTGAGTTAGTTCGGATGGACACAACTTTGGGTACCTTGGTTCATGGGCTTCTTCTACAGAGAGAGGCTTTTTCTTCTGCAATTCAGGATCTGACGAAAAAACATCCGGGTTTAAAAGTCGATATCACCCGGTTCGTGCTGGCTTGATGGATGCCATTCCTCCGTCAACGACGCATCTTTTCAGCGAAAAAGAGTTTTCCGAGCTCCTAAAACAACAACCAGGACCTTCGTCTTTTTTTCGTTCGACTAGGCCAGAACCCAGGCCAAGCACGAAACGTTCCTTCAGATCACAGCGGAAATTTCCGCAAACGCAGCGTAAATCATCCTCATTCAGAAAGTC